AACACTAAGCTAAGTAAAAAAGTTAGTCACAAAAGGTCATATACGATTCCATCTACATGGAATGTCTGGAATAGGCCAATCCATAGGGGCAAAAAGTAGAGTACTGGTTGCTTAGGCTGGTGGGAGTGGGGAGTGACTGATGAAAATGGTCTAAAATTGATTGTGCTGATGGCTGCATATTCATTTTAGTGAATATGCTAAAAAAAATTGTATACTTTAAACAGGTGAAATGAATGGTATGTGAATGTTATCTCAATAAAGTTGTTATTTAAAAGAAATGGTCAGCAGGAATGTAGCCATGAAGCCCAGTAATCCTCTCAGTGCTGATCTCCAACTTCTGTAGCATCTGACACTGCTAACACCCCTCCTTACAGCCTTCTGTTCTCTGTGAAACTCCACCTCCTGATTCTTCATCCCCTGGACTGCTCTCAACTCCCTCTTCCTAGCCTTGCCCCATGGCCTCATCCCTTGCTCCCATAACCACCTGAAAGTTCTGCTCTTGCCATCTTTGCTGCCCCATGTAACAATGTTTTTGGCTTCAACTAACACCCACCCGCTGCCACCTTGAACCCCAACCTCCAGTTCTAATCCCTTTTCCAACTATTTTTACCACCAGCAGGACAGCTTTCAGAAACACTTATGACCACCTCATTATTTCTCAAATTTAGCTCACTGAAGTAGTAGTGTTCATTTAGGTGTAAGCTCCAAGCTAAGCACTTGGCACAGTCTCATGTAATCCTCACAGCAAATCTAGATGATAGTTTTATCTATTTTACAGATGAGGAAAGTGAAGCTTAAAGAAATTAGTGCTAATCCACATTCTTGACAATAAGATTACCTTTCTCTTTTAACTCAACAGCTTCCCTACAATTTCCTCTCCTCTGTGTCTCTCTTCTACTGACAATATCAGTGCAGTGTAAGTTACCTTACATTTGATTCTTTGTTACTCGTCACATTCCACAGTTGCCAAGGTGCGTCAGTTCCATCTATTATGTGTTCCTACTGCCATTATGATAATTCAGAAGAAATCCTCACTAGCCCCAGATGACTGCACTAAACTCTTGGCACTGAAAGATACCTTCAGTACCTTTTCTAGTCCAACCATCCTTTTAAAAAAGATAACTCCTATTAGAAAACCTTAAGTCTTAGACTCAAAGCTCATTTATATGTTTAAAGGTCTGCTTCCAAAGATTACTATTTATCATCAATGAAACTAGCATTTAACATAGGTATCTTATGTAACTAACTAAACCCCACTTCACCTTGTAAAAGAGATTCCTTTTCCTTACAGACRTACCTYTCCCTGGGTCACCCAGAGTGSTGATAGCACTGCTGCCAACACAGAGTCCACGCTGACATACCAACTTTGCCTTAAACAAAAGATCGTACTTTGCTTATCATATCGTTCTTGGGAGGGTCAATGAAATAACTCTATAATCTATATACAAACTTTCAATACAGAATCTGTACATTGTATGCATTCATGGCACAAAGCAAGCTTATGTAAGGCAATTGTGTTTTAGTTAATATTAACAGTTCAAACTTTTTCGTGAAATTTTATTATTTCTGTTAACAAAAATGTCACCAGCAAAACCAAATTAAACAAGCTCACAGATAAGTCCTCTCTTGAAGATTTCTTTTTCAATTACAGCTTGGGAATCACTAAATTTGAAAATGTCTTATCCGCAAATGCTTTTTTTTTTTCTTTTTTTTAGTACGAATCCATAACATATCTTATTTGGGAGTTAAATAAACTCTCTAGTATTACTATATAATCCATAAGTTATATGGTAGTGTTAATTATTCTTTAGCAAATCTATCCCTGTTCTTTAAAAATCATGACCTCAACCGAAATACTACCTTTGAATTACTTTAAGTTGGATTATAGATCTCTAGCATTGCTGAACTGTATCTAGAAGCCACACACATCTCTGGAGACATACCTGCACACAGTAGTTTCCTTCTCCACAATTTAGGTACAATCAACAATATGGATGTTCAATTTTCAAAATAAGGCATGAAACAATTCCAAGTAACTAGAATGCTGAACGTGTTCATCTTGTCCCCAAAATCATGTAATTTAAACTTGAAAAACCTCCACAAGAAATAGAAAATATCTATCTAAACAATGATCGAGAATAGAAAATATCCATTCACTCCATTAAAAGTCATTATTAATACTTAAGAAGTCTGTATTAATCAAAATCTCACCACGAGCTTACAAATGTATTCAAGATAAAACTAAAGAAAACCTATGGAAAGTTGCAGAAATCCAATCTCTTTCATGACAAGCTTTCACTGTCATTTACATTGCCACCAAACTAACAAAAAAGACTGATGAACTGGTAATCTTACAAACTTTATAGACCTAAAATACCAATATTTAACTTTAATGATACAATTAATTTTGTACATTAACATCACAAAATTACTTTTCTACGATCGAACTCCCTTACCTGATTTTCAGTTTCAAACAGAAGAAACCCGTAAGTTTCTTGAAGTTCTTCGTGAGTATAGTCACTTGCTTTTTTTTCTTGGTAAAAAGTTTTGTACTGTATAAGGAGAGAATAATCAAATGTTATAAACATGTTATTTTGCCTTGAAAATTAATTTTTAAAAATGCATCATCTGAATTCCTCCTGCTAAAAGACTAATGAAATTTATTATTTTTCTATTCCCTAGAATATATTATAATTACCTTTCAAGTGACTATTTCCAAGGATCTTTTATTTCAGCTGAAATGTGATAGCTAAAAAGAACTAGGCTTATATATCAAAAATAATGGGTCTATTTCTTTAAAACTAAAATAAAACAAACACACAGACACAGTGTGTACCAAGCACCTCACCTCATTTAAGAAAATGTCATTTATCACCAAAGTCACTTGACTGTACTGAAAACCATGCTCAGATGCAGAGTCCAAGTAAGAAGTATGGAGAATTGAAACTGCCCTCCGGAAGACAGAGTCTGAACTCAAGGACACTGTCTCAAAAACTGTAAAACACAAACAAACATAATGCGACTGTTTAAGATAACCAAAGGATGGGGAAAAGTGGCACACTAAATATCACTGAATACTGATACAGGAAATATATCATCTATGATAATAGGATATAATCATCTCTTTCCTTCCTGTATAATTAAGACATTTACAATGTGTTTTGGCTACCATATCTGGACTATCTTAAAAGATCTCACATGTGAAAATAACCTAAATGGATTATAACTGAGGGTGAGTTACTTTTAATGCAAGAATAAATCCCTTCTGGTTTAAAGCTGGGTGCTGTAGCCATACTGGGTAAAAGCAGATGCAACTGCAGTGTCAAGTTGGTGGTCAGCAACTGCTTAGACCAATGCTTCTCATTCTTCAATTTTTTTAAACCTAAGCCACATTTTGATAAACTTACCCTTCCTGT